ATAATAATAATAATAGTTTATTGACCAACAGAACGCATCCATTTACAGGTCAACTTAAATATATATAGAACATACAAAGCATTGTGCATTAATAACAAAAGAAAATTGAGAGAAAAAAGAAAAGTGAAATTTCAAAAACAAAAAAACAACAAAAAAAAAAGTTAATAACTGCCCCTGAATACATTTAAAGAAAAACAAATTATAAAATATTGTAAAACTAAGAATACTATATATAATATACCTATCTATTTGACAAGCTTTAGCAAAAAAAAAAAGGTAAAGTTACACAAATAATAATTCTACAATAATATATAATGTTATTAAGGCATTAAAATTATTATTAATAATATGCATATAATGCTCGCGTAAAACAATACAAATTGTCTTCAAATTGAATTTAGTATTGCGCCAAGATCAAAATGGTAAATATCGCATGAATTGCATACCTTGTTGAAATGCGCACACATTGTATGAATTGGTGAGCTTCTTAGTATATTGGTATATGGCACTGCACAATAAAAAGTAATTTCAGTACGCGAGGTGTAAGTAGGAACACGAAAATTCAATAAACTTAACAGTACCAAGGATTATGGATTAATTTATACAGAAAAGTCACACTATTCCTAACCCTCCTTTTCTCTAACGAGCAGAAGTCAAATTTGGCTAACAGTAACGAATAAGGGTATCCCCTCTCCGGATATATACCTTCAACTTTATAAAACAAAAATTTTAAAAACTTACGCTGGACGCCTTCTAGCCTAGATATGTCACTTTTAGTGTAAGGATTCCAAATTAATGCGCAGTATTCCATTTTAGAGCGAACGTATACAACATACAAGGCAACAATAACAATTGTTTCTTCAATTCTTTTCATATAAACGCAAGATTCATATTTAGACTTTTTGTAATCCAATTCTGTCAAAGTTTGCTCAACTCTTAATTCCACATACGTGAAGCTTGTTTAAACCCATAATGTCCTTGGTTAATAAACATACCTTATTATCTTAAATATAACCTTCTGGTTGAGCCATAAAAATTCTTGCGTTCAAATTACTATTAAGAAAAGCTGTGGTAATGTCAACATGATCTACTTCTAAATCAACACTTACCGCTATGGCAAAAAGCATTCTTAAAGTAGAGTTTCTAACAACTGGTGAAAACGTTTCTGTATAGTCTATTCCATACTGTTGAGTAAAACCACGAGCAACTGGTCTGACTTTATATCTCTTCTCACCCTTTGAATCTCACTTTAATTGATAAACCCACTTGCACTGAACAATCTTCTGATTTTCTGGTTTTTCAACTAATGTCCATACTTCATTGTTTATTAGTGACTCGTACTCTTCATCCATTGCTTTTCTCCATTTTTCTGCATCATCACGACTCAAGGCCTCAGATACAGTGCTTGATTCTTCATTCATCGCTTCCGATACAAAATACAGTACATGGTCTGTATAAGTTTTTTCTTTTCTCAACCTTTCCGATCTTCTGAGTTGTACATCATTTTCTTGTGGAACATCCACTTCCAGATCATCATTAGATTGTGCATCGGAATGTATATCTTCAACTTCTTCCTTATGCTCCTCTTCTATGTGAGCATCCTCCTATTGAAAAACCAGATTTCTATTCACCTCATCAGGATCATTTTTCCTCGATTGAAATTGATTTTCGAAGAAAACGACATCTCTAGATTTGATGATATGACCTGATTTTTCACTATCAAACAGTCTGTAAGCTTTACTATGTTCATCGTAACCCACGAACACATATTCCTTGCTCTTTGGATCGAATTTCTTTCTTAATTGTTGCGGTATATGAGCCTGCGCTATACAGCCAAAAACTTTTAAATGTTTGAGATTAATTCTCAATCCTGACCATTTTTCTTCTGGCGTACATCCTTTTACAGCTTTGTGAGGTGATCTATTCTTCAAATAAACTGCGGTGTTGACAGCTTCAGCCCACATCTTTTGATCTAGATCTGCCTCAAGCAACATACAGCTTTTTTTACTATGGTCCTATTTGTCCTCTCTGCTACACCGTTTTGTTGAGGTGTGTAAGTGACAGTGGTTTGATGATCAATGCCTTTCATTTTGAAATAATTTGTGAAACCTTCATTCACATACTCTGTTCCATTGTCACTTCTAACCTTCTTAATTCTCTTACCCGTTTGATTCTCAACAAATATTTGAAATTGTTTAAAATGATCTAGGACTTGACTTTTAAATTTCAAAAAATATACAAATACTTTTCTAGTATAATCTCATCAATTAGTACAGAAATGTATCTTGCCCCACTCCAAGAGGAAACTGGCATAGGTCCACATAAATCTGTGTGCACTAATTCTAAAATATTTGTAGCTCGCTTACCTCCTGTCTTATTAAACGGTTGCCTCATCTGCTTTCCCAGCAAACACCTTTGACATTGGTCCCCTTTTCCATTGCCGTACATTATGCCATCAGCCATTCCATTTTTCAATAGCTGCATACTAACTCGATTGAGTTAGTCTCCTGCGCCACAATTCTTCGGAATTTGGATTTGCCACAGTAAGCAAACTCTGCTGCTCCAAAACATCCAACTCGTAGAGCCCACCGTTCATGGTCGCAGTAGCCACAACCTCTCCTTTGACATGGAATTTTTCATTGTCATAAATAACACATTTATCTTCATTAAAGACCACAGCATGTCCTTTTTCTACCATTTTGCTTACCGACAGTAAGTTAGCCCTTAATTCTGGAACATAGACGATCTCGGATATTGTTTTGATACCTGACTTGGTATGCACTGGAGCGTTTCCGATACCTGCACCAGATATCCTTTGATTGTTAGCAACTACAATCTTGGAATCTATCAGATTTTCAAAATCTTCAAGACAATCCCTTTCAAATGTCATGTGTGTGGTTGTCCCTGAGCCAATATACCACTTCTGAGAATATTGGACACTGTTGTTGGTAACAGAAGTCTGCAATGCCTTCTCGGATTTGGAATGATCCTTTTTATCCTTTTGGTACTTACTCTTTCTCTCATTAGACTTTTTATTTTCTTCTGAATTTGAGCTCTTATAGGAACACTGATTTTTATCATGTCCCATGCCTCCACACGAATAACATCTTACTACCTTTCTTCCATGTCTTTTTATTTGATAACAAAGCAACTTCATGATTTTCCTTGTTGTATTTATCATCTTGAAGTAATTTAGCTTCTACAAAATCACTTGTAATCGATTCAACACAATTTTCAATTGCCATGACCATGGGATCATATTCTGGAGTAAGGCCACTTAACAAAATAACACCCAAAAACTCATCATCCACCGGATGTTGCATATCTCGTAACTTTTGAGCTAGTGACATTCCCTCATTTACATATGCCTCCATAGTTTTATATTCTTCTCACTTAATTCTTACTAACTGCCTGATCAAACTCAATCTCCTTGACAATCCCGTATCTTCATAAGCCTTTGATAAATTTTGCCAAGCTTCCTTCGCAGATCGAGCATTACGAAAATGTGAGTAAGTGCACGGTTGTACACTCAAACATATTTTGGCTAGAGCTTTCTGTTCTGACTTTTGTTTGACGTTTTCCTTAGTTGTGTCATCCTCTGGATAGCCTTCTATGCATCCCCAAAGACCTTCAGGCATAAGCGCCATTTTCATCCCAAATTTCCAGTTGATAAAGTTCTCCCTGCCGACTAATTTCTCGAATTCTCGAGTGTTCTGCCATTTTATACAAGTTTACTGAACTTAACACTTCTCTGATGTATAACGTTGACTTTCGTACTAACTTATTTTTCTATCGATTTACACTAAAACGCACACATGCACTTCATAATCTGGACGCATAACCTGTGAGAATATTAGCAGAATGAGTTCGATGAAAGTTTTTAATCAGTCAACACGAAAATCAGTTTTAATACAAACTTACAATGACACATACCTTTTAATTAAATTTTTGACATCTTTCAAAATTACTTATATACTAAGCTGGCGCTGTATGAATATCAAACTTGATTATAATTATATTCCAACACATTCCCAAAAATATACTTCGCATTGACAGGAAATGTTCATCTTTATTAATAAATGAAAGGCACTGTGTAACGAATGACGGTCAGGTACTAAAATAAAATTAATCGTATTTTTATAATTTATATATATTTTTTTGAAGAGTTTCGTAAACCTACTAGTACAACATTTTATGACAAACGAGGTCGTGGATCTAGTACGGTCCAGTCCAAAAGTACTGTCAAAAGTGACAGATGAAATAGCGTAAACCCCATGGTTGCGAGTAAATCACAAATCCAAGCAAAACAGTACTCCAACTATAACTAGTGTAGTACCTTCAGATTCAACTAAAAGTCTCTACTGGGTTCCTTAGATTGAGATTTTGAAATGACAGAGAGACTAACCAAAATGGACACACATTCCGAAATCAAACGCAGATCAATACTCAATTAATTACAGATTCAACATGACCCGAAACTGTAATGGAAAAGAAACACTCGATTATTCCGGTGCGCCCAATAAACTCGTAGCATTGCAAAATTTGTTTCTGAAAAACGAGATCCAATTTAAAATTCCTCTGACATTTCCATAAAGAAATCAAGGCATTTTCCTTTCATTTTCGCCGTCCTCATTTTCGTTTCCATCATATCCAAGTTACATTTATATTCAAGTTGTGTTTTTCTTTGTTGAAATAATCAATTTCAGCTCAAATTTATCGAGCTTTTGTGTCGACGTCAGTCATTAGTTTTCAAACGCCCTAATTTTGATGGAGCTCGCGTTTCACTCTTATCATAAGCAGGCGCGATAATGTAAATAGTAAAATAATACCGGCATGGCAAATTTCCGACCTCCGAAAAGCTGCACGTCTTGAGTTAATGTGCTTAAAGGGCGAGGTGGGGATTAAAGCTTGACGGAGATTTAATTACGTATAAGTGGTTGTATATTTACACAGCATGACATGTTTCGCGCATTCTAATTTAAGTTTATTTTGAATTTCAGGTCATGAAACGTACACGACGCTACAAATTCTTGCAAGTGTCAGTCTTCTTCGTGATATACTCAGTAATTACAGTGTGTTCCAAGGATGTTGAAACGAAATCCGATGCAGCTTCCAAGACTGAAACAATTAAATCAACAGCTTCCACCGTACGACCGACAGCACCCACAAATGGTGAACCGACAAAGCCGACAAGTGCACTACCGACGACTAGACCCACTTTCAGGCCCAAACGCAACTGCACGCCGCCGGCGATTGAGCAGTTTCCGAAACCTTTGATGGGCCCGTGGGCGCGGGAGCATGGTGGAATAATTATACATATCCTGGTGGCCATTTATACATTTTTAGGTCTATCAATTGTGTGTGATGAGTACTTTGTAGCTTCGTTGGATCGAATTTGCGAAGGTATCTCTAGCTAGTATCACTAAATTCCCATAAGTGGAGTACTTTTAGAATTAAAGCTGTCACCGGATGTTGCCGGCGCTACCTTTATGGCCGCGGGAAGCTCTGCTCCAGAATTGGCAACTGTCGTTATTGGAGTTTTCTTCGCCAAGGATGACATAGGTATAACCCGACAGGATTGCACACTAAACTGATGTTCCCTCCCTTTCAGGAGTGTCTGGTGTCATCGGATCGGCTGTTTTTAATATAATGTTCGTTATATCAGTCTGTGCTTTATCCGCTGGCACTGTGTGCTACTTGAACTGGTGGCCACTAGTTAGAGATTGCTTCTTTTACGGCGTGTCAATTCTTGTGATGTTATTTACTATATACGATGAATTTATTACATGGTAAGTGCAGACCGTACCCCCTCCAGTAGTAGAGTAAAAGCTCAATTGTTTTGGAAAGCATTGGAATTCTATCAATTTTAAATCAAATTACTCGTAGAAACAGAGTTACAAAGGGTAAGCATTAAAAAAGCTTTCAAGGGATCGCGTGCGTTGAAGGCCCAAATGTGATAGGGGAATTCTGTGTGTGGAATGGATTTTAAATATTATTGTTTCCACGTTTCCTGCTCAATTTTCGTTATTTATATCTCTTTATCCCCTTTCAACACATTCTGCTTTTGATATAGTAGAAATGTATCTCTAATAGTCTAAAACAGACCTGCAACCGAATTGAATTGCTAGCTTAATCCGATTCTCTATGCGGGTCTTTCTGAAACGTCACACAACGTAAAAATTTAAATTTTTTGTATGGTATTCAGAAGTGGGATCAATACGAGACATACAAAGAACGAAAACTTATCGGCTTACTGTTCTGATGCTAAAGAAGACAGCAGATCTGTATTACTCTGACGTCCTTAAATTTGACACGTTTGACGTATCCGAACAGTAATTAAAGTGGATGGATCAAAAAGTATTCATGCGTACGCTTCTCTTTCCAGCTACTCCTGCATCCCGATCCGAGATATTTGATAGTTGCAAAAGTTCCAACATCTAATCCTGAACTTTGCGCTCGCTTCGACCCTAACAGACTAATCTTTTGAATTCTTTACAAAATTTAAATTTAAAACTTGTGAACCCAAACTTAGATAAAGAACTTGAATTAAGAATAACCACGCAAACTCAAGTAGAGGGAAAAAATTCAAAAGAAACCAATTGCGTTTAGATAAAAAAGAGATTACTGCCTTCAATTCAAATCTAGTGCAGAGCGTCAGTTAGAAATACGATACTCTCCAAATCTTAAAAATGTATCGATTCAAATACTACATCAGAACGAGAAAAACCCCAAAGAAAATATTGTAATAGCCGATACAAAACGCCCTTTTCAAGTAAACATTAGTCAAGTAAGATAAAGGCGTATTCCATTCCTTTCACAAATAACTACCATGACAGCATAATTTTGCTTCAAAAAGAACAAGTACAGCTTGTACCCAATCTAGGATTAACAAAGAAGGGAACTAAGATAAATGAAACCCATAACACTCAACTAACTACCTACATCTAAACGGATTTATAGAGGAAAGGTATACATTGAATAAAGGGTGTAACTTAAATGGAATATTTATAATTTAAATGTTGAAGCAGAATTGAATAAAAAAAAGTTACAAATTCACAACTGAGTGTAATACAAAATGCGAGAGAACAGCACAAAGCAAGACACAAGAAAGGGGGAGAAAGTAGGGAGAAACTGCCTAATTGTTTACAAAACTAGTTAGAATATTGCATAACAAATCTACACGTATCATCCCTCAATAAATTGTAATAAAGTTCTATGATTTATGTTCAATTCCACCAGAAATAATTTTCAAACCTAGTGACCGTTGCCAGAGAAGGTATTAGGGACGACCGAGACGATTTTAGGGATGTTTCGGTTGGAATTGTTCAAATATTGTGATTAATAACAAATCTACACGTATCATCCCTCAATAAATTGTAATAAAGTTCTATGATTTATGTTCAATTCCACCAGAAATAATTTTCAAACCTAGTGACCGTTGCCAGAGAAGGTATTAGGGACGACCGAGACGATTTTAGGGATGTTTCGGTTGGAATTGTTCAAATATTGTGATTAATAACAAACCTACACGTATCATCCCTTAATAAATTGTAATAAAGTTCTATGATTTATGTTCAATTCCACCAGAAATAATTTTCAAACTTAGTGACCGTTGGCAGAGAAGGTATTAGGGACGACCGAGACGATTTTAGGGATGTTTCGGTTGGAATTGTTCAAATATTGTGATTAATAACAAATCTACACGTATCATCCCTTAATAAATTGTAATAAAGTTCTATGATTTATGCTCAATTCCACCAGAAATAATTTTCAAACTTAGTGACCGTTGGCAGAGAAGGTATTAGGGACGACCGAGACGATTTTAGGGATGTTTCGGTTGGAATTGTTCAAATATTGTGATTAATAACAAATCTACACGTATCATCCCTTAATAAATTGTAATAAAGTTCTATGATTTATGTTCAATTCCACCAGAAATAATTTTCAAACTTAGTGACCGTTGCCAGAGAAGGTATTAGGGACGACCGAGACGATTTTAGGGATGTTTCGGTAGGAATTGTTCACATATTGTGATTAATAACAAATCTACACGTATCATCCCTTAATAAATTGAAATAAATTGCTAGGATTTATGTTCCATTCCACCAGAAATAATTTTTAAACTGAGTGGCCATTGCCAGAGAACGTAATGGGGACGACCGAGACGATTTTAGGGATGTTTCGGTTGGGATTGATTAAATATTTTGATTATTAATAAATCTACATGTACCATCCCTTAATAAATTATCTTAAAATTCTATGATTTATGCTCAATACCACCAGAAATAATTTTCAAACTTAGTGACCGCTGCCAGAGAAGGTATTAGGGACGGCCGAGACGATTTTAGGGATGTTTCGGTTGGAATTGTTCAAATATTGTGATTAATAACAAATCTACACGTATCATCCCTTAATAAATTGTAATAAAGTTCTATGATTTATGCTCAATTCCACCAGAAATAATTTTCATACTTAGTGACCGTTGGCAGAGAAGGTATTAGGGACAACCTAGACGATTTTAGGGATGTTTCGGTTGGAATTGTTCAAATATTGTGATTAATAACAAACCTACACGTATCATCCCTTAATAAATTGTAATAAAGTTCTATGATTTATGCTCAATTCCACCAGAAATAATTTTCAAACGTTGCTGGAGAAGGTAATAGGTACGACCGAGACGATTTTAGGGATGTTTCGGTTGGAATTGTTCAAATGCTGTGCTTAATAACAAATCTACACGTACCATCCCTTAATAATTTGTAATAAAGTTCTTTGATTTATGTTCAATTCCACCAGAAATAATTTTCACACTTAGTGACCGTTGGCAGAGATGGTATTAGGGACAACCGAGACGATTTTAGGGATGTTTCGGTTGGAATTGTTCAAATATTGTGATTAATAACAAATCTACACGTATCATCCCTTAATAAATTGTAATAAAGTTCTATGATTTATGTTCAATTCCACCAGAAATAATTTTCAAACTTAGTGACCGTTGCCAGAGAAGGTATTAGGGACGACCGAGACGATTTTAGGGATGTTTCGGTAGGAATTGTTCACATATTGTGATTAATAACAAATCTACACGTATCATCCCTTAATAAATTGAAATAAATTGCTAGGATTTATGTTCCATTCCACCAGAAATAATTTTTAAACTGAGTGGCCATTGCCAGAGAACGTAATGGGGACGACCGAGACGATTTTAGGGATGTTTCGGTTGGGATTGATTAAATATTTTGATTATTAATAAATCTACATGTACCATCCCTTAATAAATTATCTTAAAATTCTATGATTTATGCTCAATACCACCAGAAATAATTTTCAAACTTAGTGACCGTTGGCAGAGAAGGTATTAGGGACGGCCGAGACGATTTTAGGGATGTTTCGGTTGGAATTGTTCAAATATTGTGATTAATAACAAATCTACACGTATCATCCCTTAATAAATTGTAATAAAGTTCTATGATTTATGCTCAATTCCACCAGAAATAATTTTCAAACTTAGTGACCGTTGGCAGAGAAGGTATTAGGGACGACCGAGACGATTTTAGGGATGTTTCGGTTGGAATTGTTCAAATATTGTGATTAATAACAAATCTACACGTATCATCCCTTAATAAATTGTAATAAAGTTCTATGATTTATGCTCAATTCCACCAGAAATAATTTTCAAACGTTGCTGGAGAAGGTAATAGATACGACCGACACGATTTTAGGGATGTTTCGGTTGGAATTGTTCAAATGCTGTGCTTAATAACAAATCTACACGTACCATCCCTTAATAATTTGTAATAAAGTTCTTTGATTTATGTTCAATTCCACCAGAAATAATTTTCAAACTTAGTGACCGTTGGCAGAGAAGGTATTAGGGACAACCGAGACGATTTTAGGGATGTTTCGGTTGGAATTGTTCAAATATTGTGATTAATAACAAATCTACACGTATCATCCCTTAATAAATTGTAATAAAGTTCTATGATTTATGCTCAATTCCACAAGAAATAATTTTCAAACGTTGCTGGAGAAGGTAATAGGTACGACCGGCACGATTTTAGGGATGTTTCGGTTGGAATTGTTCAAATATTGTGATTAATATCAAATCTAAACGTATCATCCCTTATTAAATTGTAATAAAGTTCTATGATTTATGCTCAATTCCACCAGAAATAATTTTCAAACGTTGCTGGAGAAGGTAATAGATACGACCGAGACGATTTTAGGGATGTTTCGGTTGGAATTGTTCAAATGCTGTGCTTAATAACAAATCTACACGTACCATCCCTTAATAATTTGTAATAAAGTTCTTTGATTTATGTTCAATTCCACCAGAAATAATTTTCAAACTTAGTGACCGTTGGCAGAGAAGGTATTAGGGACAACCGAGACGATTTTAGGGATGTTTCGGTTGGAATTGTTCAAATATTGTGATTAATAACAAATCTACACGTATCATCCCTTAATAAATTGTAATAAAGTTCTATGATTTATGTTCAATTCCACCAGAAATAATTTTCAAACTTAGTGACCGTTGGCAGAGAAGGTATTAGGAACAACCGAGACGATTTTAGGGATGTTTCGGTTGGAATTGTTCAAATATTGTGATTAATAACAAATGTACACGTATCATCCCTTAATAAATTGTAATAAAGGTCTATGATTTATGCTCAATTCCACCAGAATTAATTTTCAAACTTAGTGAACGGTTTGAAGTAAATAAATTATCAAACTTGGCTTCTCTCGTATTTTGATAATAAGCTGAGCTGAAATTGTGGAAAAGCTGGAAAAATAAAGAAAAGAAGATAAGAAGCTCATCAGTTTACTAGGAGTAATTTGGGAAAGACATTTGGGCGTAAGCAAACAGCATTAGAAGGTCGAAGAAGGTAGAAGACGTCAAGGGATGCCATTACAAGGCGGGGGAAATATTGCAACATGGTATAGAGTAAGAATATTGAAAATTTTAAAAAGGAAAGGTGAACTAAACAAATATTCTAAATGCCTTCCCTCCTTTAGATAATAAATTCAACGGAAATTTAAGAATGAATAGAGGTTATTACTATTTATTATAAGAGAAGGCCTAATAAGGTAAAATAGCACAGGAGAATACAAAAATACGATTGCTGTAGGTCTTCTCGTATATTATAATGCGGTCACTACCCAGCCAACTAAACACCTGTTCCACTATCTTAAAACAAATCAAAATTGAAACTTAGCACTTTATCAGGCATCTGCTAGAAGAAAAATCCTAATATTGACTTAAAATTTCTCAATTTGAGACTCGGTAACGTCGATCAACTTACGAAAATTCCAAAGAATTTATTACACCACTTTTGATTAACACCTGAAATAAATCTTGGACACGGAAAGAAAATAATTTGACATGAAAACATCTGGGTCGCATAATTAATTGATTAACAATGACATAAATTTATTAGGAATTGGGAAATATAATTAGTGAATATAATGAAATAAAATTGAATCAAAATCCTTGAAAGAAAGAGAGCTTGCAAAGTTTGTTTGGATTTTACACCCGGCACACAGGCGGTCGACGATTAGAATAAGAAATCTTAAAATTACAGTTTTTTTAATGATCCAAATAATTCAATCGTACAAGGTTTACATTATAAGGCGCTTAATTTTCGCTTTATAAAACTCCATATCTAAACTTAAAATCAAACCAATAAAATCGCAGGAGTAAAAAAACCAACCTGTTTTAGAAAGGTGTCATATTGAAAACTTTATTCGTATCGTTATTAATTTTTCTTATTTAAAACTTCTGACTCCATCTTGCCGAGAAAACCAATTTTTAGATATTTATCAGATAAAAGTATTTTATTAAACTGAGAATGCCTTTCAATCAATTGCACGGATTTGGTCGCAGGGTTTAGACCAGATGTGTCTTACTTTTAATACCTTATCTAAATTGAATAAATGACAAAAGCGATCAAATTGAAACAAATTACGCACTTGCAACATTCTAAAAGGAAAACATAACACTGAGATACATATTCAAATGAAAGGTTGCGATCAATTTTGGATACAAATCTTTGAAATGCACACGCTAATTTTCGGCAATGGAGAAGTTTCATAATGTTGATAACACAATATTTAATTCCATTAAAATATAAATCAAGACTAATATAGTAAAAAAAATGTTAAAATGCATCGATAAATGTCTAAGAAATATAACTGTGGCCCTAATTATTCGGGCACATAAAAAAAAATAAATGGAATATCCGTTGGGTATGCAAAATGAATGCCGTGCACTTGGGCACATAGCAAAAATGAACGTAATGCCCCACGTTGGGCGCAAAAATTTAATGCTGTGACCCTTCGGACACAAACAAAAAAACGCAATTCCCTACGTTGGGCGCCAAAATAAATGCTGTATGCACCCAGGGCCGGACTGGACCTACCAAACGGCCCGGGCGAATTTGTTAAACCGGCCCACTATCTCACCAAACTACCATAATACAAGGGAAAAAATAATTTTTTTGATTTTTTGCGATACAAACTCAGGGTACAGTTGGATTCCGGCACAAAGAGAAATCTTGTTGACTTTACACACACAATCAAATTCGGTAAATTCCAACTAAAACTCTACATAAATTTTGAAGTAGATTAGAAATCCCATTCGGGGCGAAACTGGCTGAACGGGTATTTGCAAACATTTTAAATCAACGTGACATTTCCATAAACTGTACGACAAACTTTTCAATTAATAAAACCCTTCTAAACAGAGACGACAACTTGCTGGAACTTACCTCTGACGTAAACAGGCTGACTAAAACTTGAGACAAAATGCGTAAAGAAAACTCTTCGCACGCATTCAAAAATCACTCAGACAGCAGTCAGCAGAGTCGGTAATTTCCTCCGCTTATTTAAGCAATCTCCGTCCCACTCTCATTTTCCGCCTCGTTGTTGACCGACGAAGAACGAACAACTAAATACGTCGCTAAATTAATGTGTCGCGCTTGAATTTCATACAATTATTAAATGCAATAACAACCCTTAAATAACAAATTCACAATAGAGAATTAAAAAAAACTAACCATTAACCCTTAAATAAAATCCCAAAATTCTGTGTCCACTTGTGCTCTTCAGGTCCTAAACAAAATAAATGCACAAGGTGGGACACCTCTAATGGCAAACTCAAATTACGTTCACAGCACGTAAATATTCAACTACATGGTGGCTCGCTCTCGTCGTCGGAATTACTTCAACTTAGAGAAACGAGACCCCCCTGCAGTTAGTTAGTAACATTTTATAGTGCGTTCATAAATTTCGCTTTTACTTCTACCATTCTTCTACAAAGTTATAATGCCCCATTTTTATTTTTTCAGGAGCGAATCACTCTTCATGCTATTTATGTACATAGTATACTGTGTCGTCTTGCACTTTAATGGCCCGTTAGAAAGATGGGCGCAGACTCTTCCAGTTCCTTGCAAGAAAGTCGCTCCCGACGAAGAATCGGGATTAGTTAGCTATAAAACGTTGGACGAAGAAAAAAAGCGAGCAACTTACGGAAGTAGTCCCGATGGTACCACCGCCAACGCCGAACAAGGTGGGCGCCACAGAAAGTGACGGTTAAGTATCACCTTTTCTTCCAGATTTTGGTGGTAAGATGAGCGGACCCGCGCTGAATCAAGGTTTCGTGGCGTCACCTTCGGTAGGTCCTACGGTCATTCAACAAACCTACTACAAACCGAAGGACTATAATGCGGCGGAACGTCGTGATCCACTCGTTAGGCCAGAAGGTACAAATCTCACCTGTAGACAGTAACTAATTAATATTCTCGTAGACCCTAGGTTTCTTGTGCAGGCACCGTGGGCGATAGTGTTTCCGATTCATTTCATGTGCAAAAAAACCACCCCGGATTGCCGAACGGAGAAGTACAAGAATTGGTATCCATTCACCTTCCTTGTTTCAATGATTTGGATTTCTTTCTATTCGTACTTCATGGTGTGGATGATCACAATTATCGGCACCACTTTGGGTATACCAGATACTGTGATGGGCTTGACGTTTGTGGCCGCGGGCGTATCTGTCCCAGATGCGTTATCAAGCATCGCCGTTATAAAAGAAGGGTAAGTTCCCACTTTGCGCTTAGTTTGGCAATGGTAAAATTGCAGGTATGGAGATATGGCGGTCTCCAACGCAGTTGGTTCAAATGTCTTTGACATTTTGATTTGTTTGGGTCTTCCTTGGTTTATACAAACTGCTATAATCAAACCAGGTTCACATGTCAATGTGATAAGTAAAGGTACGTGTGCTTTGTGAGTGAGGCACAAACACATCTTTGCTTTTGTAGGTTTAACATATTCGACTCTTTCGTTACTCTCTACGGTAGTTTTTCTAATAGTAGCGACGCACATGAATGGTTGGAAGCTGGATAGAAAATACGGCATAATTCTAATGGTGTGGTACCTATTTTTTATAACATTTGCAAGTTTATACGAACTGAATGTGTTTGGCCAACTAAACCCGCCGGAATGCCCAAGCACCTATTAAATTGGCCATATCGTTGTTAACGCACCAAATCGTGAATTTGTTATACGCAATGCTCAAAATGTATCAAAACAAGAGAAATAGCCGCTGTACCGTAAAGTATTATTGAAATAGATCAATTAATAATGTTTATTGTTATAAATGAGTACATTAAATGTTAGATGGTAGAAATTAGCCGTCCCTAGAGTTTCAAAAACCTATATTTGTAAAAATATTTTATAAAAAGAATTAAAAAAAAGGTCGGCTTAATAAATGTTCTTGAAAATTAGCTGTAATAAGCGCTTACATGTTACATCGAAAGAAAAAAAAGTATTTTTATTAACCCAATATCTTTGTGGAATCCAGCATTCTTTAACGTGTACCAAATTTCGTGTATCTGTGATTTTTTGTTCAATTGTAGGTAGTCATTTTATGTTCCTAAGGATAAATTAATTAGAGAAACGTAAGACAATAAAATATCGCCTTATCTATATAGTATTATGAAATAGTGTTAAATGCGTTAGGTTCAGGATTTAGTAGATGCCCCCCGGTGGAAATTGGAACAAAAACGAATTTCGGTTTCCTGATCCGTTTGTGCTCCATGCTTGTTATCTTATTTCGTAAAATTGTACAAATATTTAAGGAGGCATTTTGTATTTGGTTTTTACAAAACGTTAAAATACCTCGTAGTGTTCGGAAACTGCTTTACAGGTCTGGTTCGTTTTACAATTTAAGCAAGTGTTTTTATACCAGTAAGTAATTATCCAACGAATGGCACTTGTTCTGGTTACGTAGAAGTAGTTCCCACCAGGAACGGTAAAATGCCAAGCTTGGCCCTTTTGATGGGCGCTTTACGAGTAGGCAATCGTCAAGACCATAATCTTAACAAAGGCTAGTCAAGTTTAAAATAATGTTAAATAAGAAGCAGGTTATAGAATTTGCAAAATAAGTTAAGTCACATATTCAAAGCATTAAGTGTGATTTACCGTAGTTCACCACATGCACCTTTCCTTTCAAAAAGCTTTGTGGATAATGTTAACGCTTATTTCGAAACATTTCTAGATGTTAGTAATCTTCTTCTATCGCTCTTCTTCCCACTAATGGTATGTTAGATGTTAATCTCAGTTCACGATTTTCTACACCTGCCCTTGAATGTTCGTGAGCTGAATTAAAGCAAATGTTATACACAAACATGTAAATTAATGGTTAGATTAAATAAACGTACCGAGCACTGTCAAAAATAATTATATTACTGTACTGCACTAACAGGTCAGTGTTGAATTGTAATCTACCCTATGTTATTTAATAAAAATTTATCAAAAGCTGTTTCTGAAAACTTACCATATAGCATTGTCCAAAAACACCCTTATAATTCTTATCCTTTTTTAACCACAACTATAAAAATTATAAATAATATACATACCGCATTCCTCTGTTAGAATCCAGGGATAGTCGCACTTGAGAGTATGCATCTGAAATGCGCAAAATTTGTATTCCTCCACCCCAGTTTTTGTGCATGGGAAGTACAATGCAATGGGTTGAAACTTCTCTTTGATTGACGACGTTTCCCTTTTTTCCTCAAATTTAAATACGAAATTTTTAAATAGTATATTACGTAACGAGTGTTGAAAGCGATACTTTTCACACGAGATGTGAAGTTTGCCATACGAGGCGAAGCCGAGTGTGGCAATCACACGAGTGTGTAAAGTGGCTTTCAAACGAGTCATGTACACTATTTTTCCTACGACTCTCCATACAACCAAAATACTTACATAATGAAACAAAAGTTATTTTATTTCGAACCAACTACAAAAACTATCTAAAAATACGAAATAGATTCAATTTCTCTTTAACGAACTATTGTTATAATTACTTTAGCAAAGACTAAAGAGGTACTTGTGGTTTGGAGCTTCTGCAAGAAATTTACTAATATTATTAGACGTACGCTACTTTTTATACCTCAGCCGTAATTTAGTTGGTAGTAATTCGAGTGTGGTGGATTTTGCCTCTTCTCTGATGTTGGGTGGAGTACACTCTACATCCATGGAAGAATCACTTTTCGCCATTAAAAATAAGTAAGGAATTAAATGTGTAGCACAAGGGAATAAACTCAAGAATAAACTAATCGCAATTTTAGAGTTTGACGTACGCCTACTACGTTGATGTTACAAGAAGATTAGACTACTACGAAAGCAAAACGTAACATGCGATTTGCTTTCTACTACATGGTAAGTTCAAACGCTCATAGTCCGTGTACTATCTCCTGCCCAAAAATACTCGTACTCGTACTCGTATTTCTTGAAAATCTTTTTAAAAATCTACGAAAATTTATTTCTGAAACCTTTGATTCCAGCAGTCTTTCTAGAAAATTGTGGGTAGTTTTTTCAGTATCCTAAGAAATACGAATTCTTCAAGTTAGTTTACCCTTGAAAGATCTCAGGTTTCCTTTCTCTTCTTTATTTCGTTAATTAAAATTCTTGTTTCTTCAGATTTTTCGAAATTTGTGAACATTGTTCAACTTCAGTTGCGGCAGGTTCTTCAATCTTCCTTCAAATATACAGACTTTAAATTTCTCATTGAATTCTTCGATTTCTTTCGTTATTTTAATTTTTGCGATTGTGTAGTCTCTTCTGAATCGTCAGATTGTTCTATTCATTTAGAACTTAATCCTCTCACGCCGTTTTCTCAGATTTTGCAGATCGGCGACGAAAAAAAGGAGTGAAAAAATGCGCCTATATGTGAATTCTCACAATTTTTACAATAAAATCGTGTAGTTTTTAACATACTTTTTCAAAATACACGTGAAAAAACAATGCGCTATTACTAAAGTAAACGGATGTGCATCTTATTAGGAAAGCAAACATACCGACAATTTTTTTTTATACAAGCATAACAATTTCAAACTATAAACTACAATTTACGATTGCATTTTTATTAACAAGCGGTACTTTTTTGTTGTGCGTCTGTGAGAAGTTGCAAAGTGCCGGTAGCCGGTTATTTATAAAAATTAAAGAATATTGCAAAAAGTGGTAAAAATTAGCACCGACTGTTAGTATACGTGGAACCTATTTGCAGCAATATTGTATGTTTGATTTTGGACCTTGACTTTTGAAAAACTTTTTCCGTTTGATGTTTCAAAATAATTAATCAAAAACAGAACTTTTGTATTTCGACCACTCTAATTCATATTCTTCCACAATTTCTTCGCCAATTCTGGTCAGGACAGATTCATGCACGTTTGCGAAATATAGGCACTTACTTGTACGGTTAGTTGCCTATAACTGGGGTTAATATTCCCGGTATGTGGGTGTATCTTTCCTTTTTGGTTCGTTTACGAATACTTATTTCTAAGCTTTTATTCTGGGCCAACTCTAAAAGGTAATTTTATAAATGTAATTGTAGAGTAACTGTTTAAGCAAGTCCCTAAGTGGTTTAGCGCAGTAATTGCTTCATAAGACACTTGTTACATGAAATTAACATGCTAATAGTACCTATTTGAAACTTCCCTCCATTTTTTGTGAAAATAAGCACTCCGATAATTTCGCCTTCAAAGATTGGCCTTAGGGTAACTCGCCTTCCAACGATTTTTCCTCTGAAATATCCATACGGAAGATTTTCTAAAAACTTTTCTAAAACTCCCTTCCCTGTCCTTCTTGATGAAATACGAATCTTCCTCTATAAAACCTTCTTTCAAATCATTATGGCCATCATATATAAATATTCTTCACATGTTGACATGCCTATTTCAAACTATTTAAGTTAACACTGTTTGAGATAATCGAAATTTTAATTTTATTAGAAGCTCTTTAGCAAACCGTCTAAAGAATGCTCTTTGAAACCTCGTTCTAAAGCTTTTTTGAAACCTTAGAACTTAAACAATTTCTTTTGTAACGGTACCTCACGTTAAAGCCCAACTTCCGAGCGTCATGTTGTGATGATAGTTACAATTGTAGGAAATAAACTTTGGGTTCGTGGTTCTATTGGTGAAATTCTTGTCACAATCTTCTTCGTCTTCTTGTGTTGGGAACCTACCTTTCCGTACGTTTTATTGCCCGCTGGCTCAGGTAAAAATGGGTTAGAAATACGACAGATAATTGATCTCTGGTTAATCGTTAATAATTTGTAACCAAAATTTAGAAAAATAGTAACTGATAGTTTATGCAACTTCCATATACGTCCATCTTTAGAATCTAAAGCGGCGCTAATTCCAAAAAAAACTCATTAAAACTGAATTACATTATTATTACCATTAAACAATGATATAAAAGAACAAATCATTACAACCTCTCTAAAAAAACAACCAAAACTACAATTAACTGAAAGAAAATATTCCTGAAAATCAATAATCCTATCCTAGAAATTAATGGAAACAATAATCCTAAATGAATAAACATTATGTACCATTATAGAAATTATCCTCCCCCTACCTCCCAGTCAAAGTCATAATTTTGGAATTAGTTTAACATTTTCGCCTCGTACACTTCCGGTAGCTGCTACAAAGAAAAGTCCAAATATTGACTGAAATTAATGAGTCCTCGATTAACTTCTGAAAGTTCCAAAGAATTTATTACATAAATACACTGGAAATAAATTTTGGATACGAACACAATGCTGGTCACACAATGGGTTCGAATAAACACGCAATTGATTGATTGACAATGACTGAATCTTCCGACGGGAAATTTTCTGGGGTCGAATATTCCGAGGGAGAATACTCTTCCCGGACGTGAACCTTCATGAGGTCAATATTTTAAGGTTAAATTTACATGCAGGCGGAGAGTTTTCCGGGAACAATGTTTGAATTTTGAATTTTGAAGGGTAGGTATTCTAAACATGCATATTCTTTGAAGGTCGCACTTTTCTGAACGCGAACATTCTTTCAAGCGAGTACTTAGTAAGCTAATATTTCGCGGGAAGCGTATTTGGCATAAAGCCGAAAATCCTACGAAAAGGTCCTTCGAAAGGTTGACGCTTTCTTAGGCTAATTCACCGCGACGAAGTTTGTTACGGAAATAAAAATGAAATTCTCACAAAATATATGAACATAAACGTTAGAAAAATCGCCAGCAAATGATTTTTTTCGAAAGTGTAATGACTTACTAAAGAGCTCTTAAAAGCGAGTTCATGATTTTGGACTTTCTGTCCGCCAGTTCGTCCGACCGTCCGTCTGTGTACATGGTATCTCGCGAACGGTTTCGAGTTGTCCAATTCTGATTACAGTATTATGTTTATCATCAAGTATTGACTAAATTTTCGGGCACCTAGAAGCTCGATTGCTATATTTGTTACAAGCTTATTTTTGTATGAAAACTAGAAAATTTGAAGACACGCAAGAAGAGAAGAGAAAAAATCAAATCTTTTTCGAAAATGTAATCACTAATTTCATATATAAATTGGGAACATTTAAGGCAATGCAAGAAACATAGTAGTGCCTTAACTTGGGGAAAAGTGGCAATTCTCAGGTAGTATTGGAAATGGAAATAATAGGGCGTACGAAATAAACTGGAATGTGAAAAAATGTAGGTAGGTAACGAAATTTCAGATAAAAAAATGACCAAAAGACTATAGGAAAATCAAAGCAAAATTTTTATCAAAAATGTCATTACTTATTATTTATTAACAAGCGACCTAGCGCGTTCATGAGTTTGGAGTTTTTGTTTGTCCATCCGCCTGTCTGTGTACATGATGAATTTTCCAATTTTGTTTTCAATAATTGGTAGACGATGGTCAAGAGACTATAACTGATTAAATTATGGTCATTTAGACTTTCTGTCCGTCCGTCTGTGGATGTCGCTCGTAGATATTGGTCTGAAACAGTTTATTTGGTATGTAAATTAGGAATATTAAAGTCAATGCAAAAAGCTATGGAAATTAATGGCAATAGTGCCACTTTTAGCTGTGTAGAAATCGCTTGCCCCAATAAGTAATGCAAGAATACCGGTGTAAATGTAGGTAAAAAAATTCAGGGCGATAAAACTCTTGCGAAAATAGTGGAGAATTTTTTTCGAAAATGTCCACTCAAAAATAAAGGCCTAAAATAATTAAACAAAATGGAAATATACTCGTAACTAATATAGCAAATGAGCTCCTGGGTTACTGGACATTTAATCAGTTCTTCCTCGGGTGACGATATTAACAAGAATTAGGAATATTCGAAACCGTTCACGAGTAATCAAGTACAGAGACCGACGGACGAACAGATAGTCCAAAATCATGAACTCGGTTTAGGAGCTTGTTATAAGGAATAAATTTTAAAACAAGCAATCAAAGGAGAATTTATTTCGTATCGAAAAAATGTTCATACAATGCAAAAGATATGGAAA